CGCCCCACCTCTACCCACACCCAAACCCAGCCCGGCCCACCCCCACCCACAGCCCGCCCCCACCACCTCCACCCCCACACAGTCCCCACCTCGTCATACCACTGGTGTGTGTGTGTATTAGACTGTGTTGACATATTCCAGCCGTGTTGCCTGTCTTTCACGTCTCATCTCTGCTACCATCACCATAATATCCACTCCCTCTCTCCCTCCCTCCCTCCCTCTCTCCCTCTCTCCCTCTCTCCCTCTCTCCCTCTCTCCCTCCCTCCCTCCTCCTCGTCCTGTCCTAGTGCTCGTTTTCAGCTGAATGAGACACTTAAACACCATGGCAGAATGGTGTTTAATTCTCCACTTTGGGTCTAGAGAGTGCCCAAAATGTTCAGTAAATCTCCAACCCTCCTACTCCAATCCATTAATATTGTGTTGCACGTGTGTTCCTCAGGTGGGAGGGGGGGGTATCTATCTAAGGGAACCCCCCCCCAAGCTGAAGGAGGGGGTGGGGGGGTTGTGGTGTGTGACACACAGGTGCCACAGCAACACACACACAGGTGCCACAGCAACACACACACACAGGTGCCACAGCAACACACACAGGTGCCACAGCAACACACACACACAGGTGCCACAGCAACACACACACACAGGTGCCACAGCAACACACACACACAGGTGCCACAGCAACACACACACACACAGTTGCCACAGCAACACACACACACAGGTGCCACAGCAACACACACACAGGTGCCACAGCAACACACACACACAGGTGCCACAGCAACACACACACACAGGTGCCACAGCAACACACACACACAGGTGCCACAGCAACACACACACAGGTGCCACAGCAACACACACACACAGGTGCCACAGCAACACACACACACAAGTGCCACAGCAACACACACACACAGGTGCCACAGCAACACACACACACAGGTGCCACAGCAACACACACACACAGGTGCCACAGCAACACACACACACAGGTGCCACAGCAACACACACACAGGTGCCACAGCAACAAACACACACACAGGTGCCACAGCAACACACACACACAGGTGCCACAGCAACACACACACAGGTGCCACAGAAACACACACACACAGGTGCCACAGCAACACACACACACACACAGGTGCCACAGCACACACACACAGGTGCTCCAGCAACACACACACACAGGTGCCACAGCAACACACACACACAGGTGCCACAGCAACACACACACACAGGTGCCACAGCAACACACACACACGTGCCACAGCAACACACACACACAAGTGCCACAGCAACACACACACACAGGTGCCACAGCAACACACACACACAAGTGCCACAGCAACACACACACAAGTGCCACAGCAACACACACACACAGGTGCCACAGCAACACACACACACAGGTGCCACAGCAACACACACACACAGGTGCCACAGCAACACACACACACAAGTGCCACAGCAACACACACACACACACACAGGTGCCACAGCAACACACACACACAGGTGCCACAGCAACACACACACACAGGTGCCACAGCAAAACACACACACAGGTGCCACAGCAACACACACACACAGGTGCCACAGCAACACACACACACAGGTGCCACAGCAACACACACACACAGGTGCCACAGCAACACACACACACAGGTGCCACAGCAACACACACACACAGTTGCCACAGCAACACACACACACAGGTGCCACAGCAACACACACACAGGTGCCACAGCAACACACACACACAGGTGCCACAGCAACACACACACACAGGTGCCACAGCAACACACACACACAGGTGCCACAGCAACACACACACACAGGTGCCCAGCAACACACACACCACAGCAACACACACACACAGGTGCCACAGCAACACACACACACAGGTGCCACAGCAACACACACACACAGGTGCCACAGCAACACACACACACAGGTGCCACAGCAACACACACACACAGGTGCCACAGCACACACACACACACAGGTGCCACAGCACCACACACACACACAGGTGCCACAGCACCACACACACACACAGGTGCCACAACACACACACACACACACAGGTGCCTCAGCAACACACACACACAGGTGCCTCACAGCAACACACACACACAGGTGCCCACAACAACACACACACACAGGTGCCACAGCAACACACACACACAGGTGCCACAGCAACACACACACACAGGTGCCACAGCAACACACACACACAGGTGCCACAGCAACACACACACACAGGTGCCACAGCAACACACACACACAGGTGCCACAGCAACACACACACACAGGTGCCACAGCAACACACACACACAGGTGCCACAGCACCACACACACACACAGGTGCCACAGCAACACACACACACAGGTGCCACAGCAACACACACACACAGGTGCCACACACACACACACACACAGGTGCCACAGCACACACACACACACAGGTGCCACAGCAACACACACACACAGGTGCCACAGCAACACACACACAGGTGCCCAGCAACACACACACACAGGTGCCACAGCAACACACACACAGGTGCCACAGCAACACACACACACACAGCAACACACACACACAGGTGCCACAGCAACACACACACAGGTGCCACAGCACACACACACACACAGGTGCCACAGCACACACACACACAGGTGCCACAGCAACACACACACACAGGTGCCACAGCAACACACACACACGTGCCACAGCAACACACACACACAAGTGCCACAGCAACACACACACAGGTGCCACAGCAACACACACACACAGCAAGCACACACACACAGGTGCCACAGCAACACACACACACAGGTGCCACAGCAACACACACACACAGGTGCCACAGCAACACACACACACAGGTGCCACAGCACACACACACACAGGTGCCACAGCAACACACACACACAGGTGCCACAGCACACACACACACAGGTGCCACAGCAACACACACAGGTGCCACAGCAACACACACACAGGTGCCACAGCAACACACACACACAGGTGCCACAGCAACACACACACACAGGTGCCACAGCAACACACACACACAGGTGCCACAGCAACACACACACACAGGTGCCACAGCAACACACACACAGGTGCCACAGCAACACACACACACAGGTGCCACAGCAACACACACACAGGTGCCACAGCAACACACACACACAGGTGCCACAGCAACACACACACAGGTGCCACAGCAACACACACACACAGGTGCCACAGCACACACACACACAGGTGCCACAGCAACACACACACAGGTGCCACAGCAACACACACACACAGGTGCCACAGCAACACACACACAGGTGCCACAGCACACACACACACAGGTGCCACAGCAACACACACACAGGTGCAACAGCAACACACACACACAGGTGCCACAGCAACACACACACAGGTGCCACAGCAACACACACACAGGTGCCACAGCAACACACACACAGGTGCCACAGCAACACACACACAGGTGCCACAGCAACACACACACAGGTGCCACAGCAACACACACACAGGTGCCACAGCAACACACACACACAGGTGCCACAGCAACACACACACAGGTGCCACAGCAACACACACAGGTGCCACAGCAACACACACACAGGTGCCACAGCAACACACACACAGGTGCCACAGCAACACACACACAGGTGCCACAGCAACACACACACAGGTGCCACAGCAACACACACACACAGGTGCCACAGCAACACACACACAGGGGTCACAGCAACACACACACACAGGTGCCACAGCAACACACAGGTGCCACAGCAACACACACACAGGTGCCACAGCAACACACACACACAGGTGCCACAGCAACACACACACAGGTGCCACAGCAACACACACACAGGTGCCACAGCAACACACACACAGGTGCCACAGCAACACACACACAGGTGCCACAGCAACACACACACAGGTGCCACAGCAACACACACACACAGGTGCCACAGCAACACAGGTGCCACAGCAACACAGGTGCCACAGCAACACAGGTGCCACAGCAACACAGGTGCCACAGCAACACAGGTGCCACAGCAACACAGGTGCCACAGCAACACACACACAGGTGCCACAGCAACACACACACACAGGTGCCACAGCAACACACACAGGTGCCGCAGCAACACAAGAGAAAACTAAACCAGTCTGGCGCAAGAGGGCGGACACGGGGGTTCCCCGCTGCTGTCGACCCACTGAAGAACTGGACGAGACCACCAGCTCTGCCAGGACCTGGCCTAGCCCCTGGCCTAGCTCCTGGCCTAGCTCCTGGCCTAGCACCTGGCCTAGCCCCTGGCCTATCCCCTGGCCTAGCCCCAGGCCTAGCTCCTGGCCTAGCCCCTGGCCTAGCACCTGGCCTAGCTCCTAGCCTAGCTCCTGGCCTAGCCCCTGGCCTAGCCCCTGGCCTAGCCCCTGGCCTAGCCCCTGGCCTAGCCCCTGGCCTAGCACCTGGCCTAGCCCCAGGCCTAGCCCCTGGCCTAGCTCCTGGCCTAGCCCCTGACCTAGCCCCTGGCCTAGCCCCTGGCCTAGCCCCTGGCCTAGCACCTGGCCTAGCCCCTGGCCTAGCCCCTGGCCTAGCCCCTGGCCTAGCTCCTGGCCTAGGACCTGGCCTAGCCTCTGGCCTAGCCCCTGACCTAGCCCCTGGCCTAGCCCCTGGCCTAGCTCCTGGCCTAGCCCCTGGCCTAGCCCCTGGTCTAGCCCCTGACCTAGCCCCTGGCCTAGCCCCTGGCCTAGCCCCTGACCTAGCCCCTGGCCTAGCCCCTGGCCTAGCTCCTGGCCTAGCCCCTGGCCTAGCCCCTGGTCTAGCCCCTGACCTAGCCCCCGGCCTAGCCCCTGGCCTAGCCCCTGACCTAGCCCCTGACCTAGCCCCAGGCCTAGCCCCAGGCCTAGCCCCTGACCTAGGAGGGCATGATGACAAGGAAGGAGGCGGCGGCGCGTGACTCACCTGTGAAGGAGGCCCAGTTGGAGGAGAGGGCGGCGGCGGTGGCGGCGACGAAGGCTAGCAGTGTGAGGAGCGCGCCTCCGCCGGACAAACGAAACCCTCGCCTGTCACGCTCCATACTGTCATCCTAGCGACACCCAGCCGCAGGTGGGCACCCCGCACCCCTAGAGTGCTGCCTGGGGGCACCGCTCCTCATACGCCACACCTCACTCATCAAACTCACTCACTCACTCACTCGACGGGTCCACTGTTTCTTGTCAACACAATCTCATGGTTCAATTTTGAAACTATTATTGTCGTATCCATGGCGTTACTGTATCACTGGTCGCTGTAGCTGGGAGTCCGTCTTATAAGAGGGGGAGTTACAGTAGCACAGACCACTGGTGGTCCCAGGTGAGGGGGGGGGAGGGGGGGGGACCACCACAGTCCTGGTCTGGGTATCCTGGCGGGTCCTGGGACGGCTCGGTCCACCACGTGCTCACTCCTGTAAATACAAACATTGTTTACTAACAAACACCACGTGTCTCACGCTATGTCAATTATCTTACTATTATGACACTATGGCACCATTAATGACACTATGTCACCATTAATGACACTATGTCACCATTAATGACACTATGTCACCATTAATGACACTGTCACCATTAATGACACTATGGCACCATTAATGACACTATGGCACCATTAATGAAGTTGGAGTAAACTTAACCACATTATATATATATATATATATATATATATATATATATATATATATATATATATATATATATATATATATATATATATATGCGAACAAGCCTGAATGGTCCCCAGAACTATATGCGAATGAATATATATATATATATTATATATATATATATATATATATATATATATATATATATATATTTTTCATATATATATATATATATATATATATATATATATATATATATATATATATATATATATATATATATATATATATATATATATATAATTACATACAAAATAACACGCCTAATGTCCCCCTTGAGCCTACTGAAGGTACTGTCGGGTTCGTTTCTCGAGTCACAATCAAGAATTCCCGGTTCGAGTCCTAGGCGGGACAGAAATGATTGGGCGTATTGCCTGGCACCTAATACATCTGTTCACCCAGTAGTGAGAAGGTTTTCAGGAGTTAGTCAGCTTGTTGTGGGGTTGCATCCTGAGCAGGGGGGGGGGGTCGATATAAGCCTAACATATATATATATACTCTGGCTGCCTGTCCCCGAGACAATGAATTATTAAATTATTATTTTTGTTATTATTTGCTGGTTTTATTATTCAGTTGCCCGTGAATGAGACCAGAGCGTCCATACCTGTTGGGTGAGCTGGCGACAGGTGTACGACACAATGGGGGCACATGTGTAATCCCACACCTGTTAGCCTCCTTCCCAGTGTCACCTGTCACTGCTACAGTGTCACCGATAGTGTCACCTGTCACTGTACAGTGTCATCTGTCACTAGCAGTGTCACCGATAGTGTCACCTGTCACTAGCAGTGTCACCGATAGTGTCACCTGTCACTAGCAGTGTCACCGATAGTGTCACCTGTCACTAACAGTGTCACCTGTCACTGGTACAGTGTCACTAACAGTGTCACCTGTCACTGGTACAGTGTCACCGATAGTGTCACCTGTCACTGTACAGTGTCATCTGTCACTAGCAGTGTCACCGATAGTGTCATCTGTCACTAGCAGTGTCACCGATAGTGTCACCTGTCACTGCTACAGTGTCACCTGTCACTGACAGTGTCACAAGATGTTTTAGGAGCTAGAACACATCCGTCCAACCACTTGGCGGGTGCATGGGGGGATTGAGCGTCGCCCTGCACGGTAGAGTGACCGTCACTCTACCGTGCAGACAGGTGAGTGTAGCGTGACCAGTGGTGGGGGAGCAGGAGTGACCGTCATTCTACCGTGCAGACAGGTGAGTGTAGCGTGACCAGTGGTGGGGGAGCAGGAGTGACCGTCACTCTACCGTGCAGACAGGTGAGTGTAGCGTGACCAGTGGTGGGGGAGCAGGAGGGACCGTCACTCTACCGTGCAGACAGGTGAGTGTAGCGTGACCAGTGGTGGGGGAGCAGGAGGGACCGTCACTCTACCGTGCAGACAGGTGAGTGTAGCGTGACCAGTGGTGGGGGAGCAGGAGTGACCGTCACTCTACCGTGCAGACAGGTGAGTGTAGCGTGACCAGTGGTGAGTGAGCAGGAGTGACCGCCACTCTACCGTGCAGACAGGTGAGTGTAGCGTGACCAGTGGTGAGTGAGCAGGAGTGACCGTCACTCTACCGTGCAGACAGGCGAGGGTAGCGTGACCAGTGGTGAGTGAGCAGGAGTGACCGTCACTCTACCGTGCAGACAGGTGAGTGTAGCGTGACCAGTGGTGAGTGAGCAGGAGTGACCGTCACTCTACCGTGCAGACAGGTGAGTGTAGCGTGACCAGTGGTGAGTGAGCAGGAGTGACCGTCACTCTACCGTGCAGACAGGCGAGTGTAGCGTGACCAGTGGTGAGTGAGCAGGAGTGACCGTCACTCTACCGTGCAGACAGGTGAGTGTAGCGTGACCAGTGTGGGGGAGCAGGAGTGACCGTCACTCTACCGTGCAGACAGGTGAGTGTAGCGTGACCAGTGGTGGGGGAGCAGGAGTGACGTCACTCTACCGTGCAGACAGGTGAGTGTAGCGTGACCAGTGGTGGGGGAGCAGGAGTGACCGTCACTCTACCGTGCAGACAGGTGAGTGTAGCGTGACCAGTGGTGGGGGAGCAGGAGTGACCGTCACTCTACCGTGCAGACAGGTGAGTGTAGCGTGACCAGTAGTGGGGGAGCAGGAGTGACCGTCACTCTACCGTGCAGACAGGTGAGTGTAGCGTGACCAGTGGTGGGGGAGCAGGAGTGACCGTCACTCTACCGTGCAGGGCGGTGAGTGTAGCGTGACCAGTGGTGAGTGAGCAGGAGTGACCGTCACTCCCAGGCGTGAGTGACGCCAACATGGATCAATGAGTGTCAATACTGCAGTGTGAGCACGAGGGAGGACCCGGGTCGCCTCCGTCATCTGCACCCCTTCACCGTAACTGTGTGTACAGTGATCCTCACCATCACCAGGGTGGTGACTCACCATCACTGTGGTAGTCACCATCACCAGGGTGGTGGCGGCTCACCATCACTGTGATAGTGACTCACCATCACCATGGTAGTGACTCACCATCACCGTGATAGTGACTCACCATCACCATGATAGTGACTCACCATCACCATGATAGTGACTCACCATCACCATGGTAGTGACTCACCATCACCATGGTAGTGACTCACCATCACCATGATAGTGACTCACTATCACCATGATAGTGACTCACCATCACCATGATAGTGACTCACCATCACCATGGTAGTGACTCACCATCACCATGATAGTGACTCACCATCACCATGATAGTGACTCACCGTCACCATGGTAGTGACTCACCATCACCATGATAGTGACTCACCATCACCATGATAGTGACTCACCATCACCATGGTAGTGACTCACCATCACCATGATAGTGACTCACCATCACCATGATAGTGACTCACACCATCACCATGATAGTGACTCACCATCACCATGATAGTGACTCACACCATCACCATGATAGTGACTCACCATCACCATGATAGTGACTCACACCATCACCATGATAGTGACTCACACCATCACCATGATAGTGACTCACCATCACCATGATAGTGACTCACCATCACCATGATAGTGACACTCACCATCACCATGATAGTGACACTCACCATCACCATGATAGTGACACTCACCATCACCATGATAGTGACTCACCATCACCATGATAGTGACACTCACCATCACCATGATAGTGACTCACACCATCACCATGATAGTGACTCACCATCACCATGATAGTGACACTCACCATCACCATGATAGTGACTCACCATCACCATGATAGTGACTCACCATCACCATGATAGTGACTCACACCATCACCATGATAGTGACTCACCATCACCATGATAGTGACTCACTATCACCATGATAGTGACACTCACCATGTATAAATACCGTTGTTCAGCTCCACAATAAAGACCACATTTACCTGTGGTAATTAGACAAGTGACCACAAAAAGTACAGACTCTTGCACTGGCTACATGTAGTCATGCACAACGCTCCCACCAACAACCTTTCCGATCAAATTCGCCCCAAAAAAACCTGGCTCGCGGCCGTGTGGCGTAGTACAAGAACTCTCGAAACCAGACACATGTAAGAAACAGGTATTTGTGTTGCTTAAGAGTGTATACCGCTTCAAGCCAACAGAAGTTTACTCATCAACACTATAGACCCTACAGGTGTTGCACGGTTGCAACAATTCGCAACTTAATCACTGATATATGTACTTCCACAGCCCATTGTGCCGGCTTGTATATATAATTAAATCTATATAATTAGACAGACTGTATAGTTGTCTGTTAGTATGTTTATGGACAGTACGAGGCCAGACGCTGGGTGCTAGTCTCTCTCAGCTTTGCAGGAGGGAATATTGTTGTTGTTAAATTAAGCCGCAGGCTCCACTCCTGGTGGTGCCCTTCAATCAATTCCTTTAAGTTTCAGCTTTGCAACCATACTTTGCAACCATACTTTGCAACCTTCTTTGGAACCTTCTTTGCAACCATACTTTGCAACCATACTTTGCAACCATACTTTTGCAACCTTCTTTTGCAACCTTCTTTGCAACCATACTTTGCAACCATACTTTGCAACCTTCTTTTGCAACCTTCTTTGCAACCATACTTTGCAACCTTCTTTGCAACCATACTTTGCAACCTTCTTTTGCAACCTTCTTTGCAACCATACTTTGCAACCATACTTTGCAACCTTCTTTTGCAACCTTCTTTGCAACCATACTTTGCAACCTTCTTTGCAACCATACTTTGCAACCTTCTTTGCAACCATACTTTGCAACCATACTTTGCAACCTTCTTTGCAACCATACTTTGCAACCTTCTTTGCAACCATACTTTGCAACCATACTTTGCAACCTTCTTTGCAACCATACTTTGCAACCTTCTTTGCAACCATACTTTGCAACCATACTTTGCAACCTTCTTTGCAACCATACTTTGCAACCTTCTTTGCAACCATACTTTGCAACCTTCTTTGCAACCATACTTTGCAACCTTCTTTGCAACCATACTTTGCAACCATACTTTGCAACCTTCTTTGCAACCATACTTTGCAACCTTCTTTGCAACCATACTTTGCAACCTTCTTTGCAACCATACTTTGCAACCATACTTTGCAACCTTCTTTGCAACCATACTTTGCAACCATACTTTTCCACCTTCTTTGCAACCTTCTTTGCAACCATACTTTGCAACCTTCTTTGCAACCTTCTTTGCAACCATACTTTGCAACCTTCTTTTGCAACCTTCTTTGCAACCATACTT